TATTTTCTACTCGAACACCTCTCTAATGGTTTATGGATCAACGGTAAGACTGAGAATGGCTTAGCCAAGATCAGAATCTTAGCAACTTTGTTAAGAAAGCGGAAGCAAAAAAATTCAAATTACTCGTGAATTCGATTGCATTGGTACTATGGACGGTAGTGATCCCATTGGTAATGCTGGTGAGTCTACATACAGCATAGTCGCATCGCAACGGCATGCGCTGCGTAGCGCAAATATGTGAGTAGAAGAAAGTCCGATTTTCAGTTCAGCATAGTCGCTCTTATTCTTCATGACTCAAGAATGGACACCAAAACCTTAGACATCTACAATTGGATACTGATCGCTGCAATACTATCGCCAATCCCATTGATGTGTATCTACTTAGTGGGTCCACATCTAACGCTTTAGATAGTTTTACATACAGGAATTTGCAGATGTATTATCAACACAGTCAAGGCAATAGCATCTATCCACTATTCAAACGAAACCCAGACCTTTGGGGACCGCGATCGCGAGCAAATCGTGAAGAAGCCGAAAAAGCTGAAAGAATGATTCGGAAATGGTGGTAAAAAAACGTTCTAACAAATCGTCAAACAGTTTACGTTAAAAATAAAAAAGAAAAAACAAACTTGTTTTCCCAAAAATAAAAGTGGAAAAATTGTTAGAACTCTTCATTGTACAAAATTTCAAAATTCTATATTTTTCTCGTAATGATCACAGTGAAGTAGACAAATAAGTTTTTCGTTGAGGTAATCAGAGACTAGCTGAATGTACATAAGTGACCATAACCAAAACTTGAGCATGGTCCGCGAGGTGAACAATTATGGAAGGCAATAGGACTAAATGTATCATATATCCCGTCAAATGCACATCATTTCTGGCAAGAAAAGAGGGAAATGCTGTTAGTTACAAATGAATGATGTATCTGAGCGAAGCAGAAGTTGAAAAAAAGAAAAAGGGCAAAAATACAGCAAAAACCAGAACTAAACCCGATTCGCTATGCTATTAAGGCTTGCTGTAGCACTCTCCACTGTTATGGATTCGTTCATTTGGCATGGGCTTGCCAGACTTTGACGAACATCTCGGTCTGGTCTTTCGTCGTG